ATGGGATGGACATCAACCACCCTTTCGTTTGGATTACAGATGTGTTTTGCGCTTATGTGCTGGGAAGATTTAAGTGTGGATTTGGTGGCTATAAAGTGATAATGTCAGTAGTTTAAATCAAGTGTGGAGAAGCATCAGGCAGGTTTCTACAGAACGATGTGCCGGTGAATCTCACTCTATCCTGCAGTTTTCAAGCTATTGTCATTCCAAGCTATTGACGATTTGAAAGTATCATTGAGATTTTGGACTATTTGATATCACTAAAGTCTCCTAAATTGTGATACGCTGATATGTACTAAAGTTGTGTTCAGAACCCCAGAAAAGAGCTGACTTTTTTTTTTTTAGTTTAGCATGTAAGTCGTCTTGTAACAAATGTGCAATAGTACTTGCAGTTCTATAATGTAATTACTTCTTTTGCATACTGTTTTATATCATCTCCTGGAAGAACTAAACTTGGAGATCTTGTATACAGGCCTTATATGGTAAATAGGGCATGTTAATGGATCGTTGTGCATTTCACCAGTTTTAGTCTTTTCTGCTATGCCTTGACTATCTTACGGCACTAAAACAATAACTTCACACTTCTGCAGTGGTGTAGTATGATAGCATGCAACATAAAAGCTGGAGTTACACGTCAGCTGCCGACAGTGGTGCTGCTTCTTTTAGGGTCTTGATTGCAAGTACTAAGGGGTTGTCATGTTACTAAACCAGAAATTGGCGTAGGGAGGAAAAGTTCCCTGTGCTCTTATGTGTATTCTTATGTTTCATCATATGAAGCTTGACATTTTGCAGTATTAGTGCCTGTAACATGTAAAATTCATTATGGTAAACGTATATACCTGAATTTAAAATTATGAAATTAAGTATAACTAGATCTGTATTTAAACTGAAAGTTTTAGTTCTTTAATAAACATGAAGGTCATCTGTACCATTAAGAGGAAAAATAACTGCAAATTAATTACCTTTAAGTAATGTATTTTATTTTTAAACAATGTATTATAATAAGAGGAAGGTGAAAAAATATTTTAGGGTCTTCTGCCTGGCATCCTTTTTAATCATTCTAGATTTGGAGCACGTTTTTGGAAGTACAAAGTACCTTATAACAGGCACCAAATTCCTTCAGCTAAGAGTCGAGCTTTAAGTAAGGATTTGGGGGATAATCAAGAAGCCTAATGTAAGAGGAATCTCACATTCTTAGATGGTGGAGTCATAGTGGCAGTGGTGGGTTCTGCTAGATGTCTGTAAGTTAGGCTCCAGCTCTGACCTATCCCTTGGATAAGCTTGTTTCCCTCCATTGAGTACAGAGGAAGACTAGTTTCTTAAATTTATTTGAACAAATTCTCTTATGAATGAATTCTCTGTCATACTGATGACGAAGGGACCAGAATCCCTGAATCTGCTTAGCACAGCACAGTATCACCCCGTGACTTTGAGCCCAGCACTTCTTCACTTTGAATTTTGCAGCTCAGTGCAGGTTTATCAAAAGCCAAGCACGGCTTAATCAGGGATGGTGGTCGGTTGACTTTGAACACAGTCACTGAAACAGCTGTTGCTGAACTTGACAAGATGGATAGATAGATACATTGATTAACCTTGCAGCGTAAAGGAATCCTCCTGAGATATTTTAATTCCTGACTTAGGTTCAGGATAAAGATAACTGCACTAAGCAGCCTGACCTTTTTGGGTCATGGGCCAGTGAAGATACCCAAGGTAAGGAGGCTTAGAGTTAGAGGGGTTTTGATGTGAGATTTTCAGGATTTCGTTCAGAAGCCTGTGCTGCTCTTTCTTCTGAATCACTGCCCCAGCGACTCAGTTGTAGGAGCGCAGTGCCTTTGAAAGTGTTGTTTTGAATGGTTGTTACTTTATATATGGTAAGAAAAGGACACTTAGCAAGTGTCTAGGCTCTTAACCCTGTAAGCTGTAGCTTATCTACTTTCTTGGTATTTACCTTTACCTTTTACCTTTTCTGCCTGTACATGGTAAAAAAATTTTCTCACTTGTTTAAATGTTCATGTAGTATCCATCTTATAGGTAGGAAAGCAGTTGCTGTTATCTGCTTCTATGAGTAAAGTTATCAGGTATGCTAAAAGTACATCTTGATTGTCATGCAAAAACCACTTTCGCATTCCCAAGCCAACTAGCTGCCCTCTCATGGCTTGGCATTCCCCTATGCATGGAAAAGGTGTAGCTGGAGCTCTATGAAAATGAGCAAAGTAGGTGGTCTCTAATAGCACTGCGAAGATCAGCTCAACTTTGAGAGCCCATTTAGGCTTCAGCCCTGTTCTCTTTGAGTTCTAATGTGAAAGGTAGAAAGCAAGCAACTATTACATGGGAAAAAAAATGCTTTTATGTTTTCCAGAACTGGTATGAGGCCAAGGAAACAGTGGATCAGTGTGCGGTTCTCTTGCTGGCTTGTTGTTCATGAGAAAGGAAGGTTATACATTCCTGCTCTGCTTTATGATAGTTACCTTCCATGCATCTGGGCATGCTGTGGTTGCTCAGGTGGGCCAGAGGGCAGCAGCGTAAGCCCTGCCCTTTTAAATGCACAGCTGCAGCTACAGCAGGACAGCTGCAACCAAGAAAGGTGGCTGGAGAGACAGTGGAGACAGCTTAGGGCCTCGGGTCCAGTACTGGTGCTTTTGTAGCCTGCTAAGGAGTATATGTGTGTTGGGATGCAGAGGGGTAAAAGGATGAATATCTGGAGCTGGGCAATTCAAATGCATGCTGGTAACTGCAGAATTTTAGAAAATAAGATCTGGAAGGGATGTTAGGGTGACACCTGCTTGTTTTACTGTCTCAAGGTGGCGTTGTAAATGTCATCCCATATCAACCTGTGTCTGAAACATTCTTAAATATTTTTGCAGACTCTCAATAGCCACTCAGAGGTCTGAGATAAGCTTGCAGTTTCGTGATAGCTTTAGCTAATTTTGGAAGTATCCTAAATGAGTCCATTAGGCCCAGTTAAATAGAAAGTATTCAGGCTACCTAAGTACTCTGTAACCTGTTCTTTACCTCTAACAGGCTGAACTTGAACTGCTCACTCAGTTAGGCTAAATGTGCTAGCCATCTGTTCACGCACTGTCTTTTTACTGAAGACTGATACAACAAAGGCATTAAACAGTGATTTTTCTTTGAGCGTCATCAGTTGAGAGGGCTCTGTTCTTTTACGCTAACCTAAATTGGAGTAGTATGGACTCCAGTAAAAGATGTACTTGGCTTGCTGATTAACGTAACCAAGACTCATAGAATAGATGAGCAAAATAATGTGTACACTTCCCAGAGAAAGAGATTGGGTATAACACGCAGGAGTTTTCACCTGGGAAGGTGAACAGAGTTGCATTATCTATGTGTGAAATAGTCATTTGTCATGGTGTTTCCTTATTATTTCAGACAGGACTTTCAGAGTAGCTTTGATCTGTGATCTGCTTTGATCCTGCTTGTGATGAGGCTTTTCTTTATTGATTCTTTTCCTGAAAAGGCCCAATCCTGTTAAAAGGACTTGTCTTTTTCCCCTTGTATTTTCTTCTTTCCTTTCTCAACTGTTTTTGTTCAGATATCACCCTTAGGAAGTGCTTAGCTTGTCTCTGGAGGAATTGCTATTTCAATGGCATTGTGTTTGTTTATCTGGGCTTGGAATCAGGCTCACTGCATTTAGGGGCTGCTCACCTCATCTGGTTTAAGGATATGGGGTTTTTCTTGGGTTTTTATTTATTTATTTATTTTTATAATTTTTTCCTGTAGATTTGGGGGGGGGGGGAGTGTCAATGCAATATTGTCAGTAATATCTACCAATCTAAGATTATTCAGTGTCTTTCCACACAGCATGACCTGTTCAGCTTCTCTTGTTTTTAAACAAAGAAGTTTTGTTTGGGGAACAGTTGTATTTTAATGTGGTATTTGCTTCAGCCCAGTTGTATCTGTTTTCCAGAAGCAGTGAGGTGATCTGTTTGAACACTAGCTTAAAACTCAGTCTTTGAGCCATTAAGTCCTTGAAGGCTCCAAGGTGTATGATTAAAAGAGATTACCTTAAGAGAGCATTTAAATAGCAAATGAACTTTTTGTGTAGCTTCCTCTTTCAGTTATATGGTGGTACCTGATTTGAAGAATGCTCTTCTGTGGTGCAAGATTTGGGGTCTTTCTCTTTACTCTTTTAATTTGCAATAGGTGAATATAGATTGCATATCACATTTCTATACTATCATAACTTATATTTTATCTGTCTGAAAAAGGACCTTGTAGATCTGCTTTAATGGAAAGTAAACAGTCTGTTTAAACTCGGTTTCAGTGGGAAAGTGAAATAACCTTTGTTCTGTCCATCCACCAGTAGTCGTGAAGCTTTCGGGATACTTGAAATCTTAGGCCACTATTTTGCCTTTGTTTAGTCAAAATTTGTCAGCAGGTTAATAGGTGAAGGGCACATAAACAGACAACATGACCCAGTAAGGCATATTTCCTTACGAAATCGGGTTGAAAAATAGTGGCTCAGTGAAACCCCTGAGTCCTCTTACCTGCTACATAACTTGTAGAATTTGCAGAAATGTTTGTAAAATTACAGCCCAGTAATTAGTTCAGGCTATTACTGCAACTGTACATTCTGGTATTTGTTCATGCAAGCAGCTAGCTAAGTATCTAACTGTCACTTTTGATGTGGTGTAACCCATTTTGTATCCACTGTTGCAGCATTTTCACAGTTGTGCTGCACATACAAATGTTTGAAGTATATTGTGCAACTCTGAATGGATGCTGCTTTCTACTTGTCACTGTTGTATAAAAAATACCTTCAGTTAACTGAGAATACATTAATAAGTGAGAAAGCAGAAATGTTTTGCAGGTAGTTTCCTGAACTGTCAATTATATACTGTTAAGACATTTTCATGATGTTATTTTTCTCATTTATTTATACCTATTTATAACTCTAGATTTATAAGTCTTTACGTGTTCTTCGACCCCCAGTATGTCACTTCTTTATGTTGAAATTTTTTTTTTTTTATTATTTGCAGGTCTGCTATTAAAGCATTGCGTCCTGGTGGATCGTTGGTCTACTCTACGTGCACTCTCTCAAAGGCAGAAAACAGCGATGTAATAAATCTCATTCTAAACTCCTGCAGTAATGTTATACCTGTAGACATAAGTGAAATGGCCAAAGCTGTTTCTCAGGAATTCACTTTTCTCAGTGGTACGCAACAGCATGAACTTCTGGTTCTCCCAGAGAAAGGGAGAGCATGGGGTCCAATGTACGTAGCTAAATTAAAGAAAATGTAGTCTGTCTGATGGCTGGTAGTTTTTTATAAGGGATATGTGATAAATTAATATTTATTTCTAATATAGTATGTGTATATGAACATGTCCAAGGCAACCGAATTTAGGGCATTGCAGTTTTGTGTCAGCTGCTGCCTAATAAAAAGGAAGCAAGACAGTTAATTTAATTCAGCTTAAAATACAGAATGTGTCTTTTCATGTGGACTTGTGGGCCTCTGTGAAGTCCTTATGAAGTCAAGGGAGCTTTGTATTATTTTCAAGGTGATGCTCTTAAATGGGTTTATATTTAGGTCCCAGATGACTGGAAGTTAGCAAATGCGATGCCCCGCTACAAGAAGGGTTGGAAGGAGGATCCGGGGAACTAGAGGCCTGTCGGCCTGACCTCGGTGCTGGGAAAGGTCATGGAGCAGATCATCTTGAGTGCCATCACGCAGCATGTGCGGGACAACCAGGGGATCAGGCCCAGCCAGCATGGGTTTGTGAAAGGGAGGTCCTGCTTGACTAACCTGATCTCATTCTATGACAAGGTGACCCACTTAGTGGATGAGGGGAAGGCTGTGGATGTTGTCAACTTGGACTTTAGTAAGGCCTTTGACACAGTCTCCCACAGCATTCTCCTGGAGAAGCTGGCTGCTCACGGCTTGGATAAGTGCACTCTGCGCTGGGTTAAAAAGTGGCTGGACGGCCGAGCCCAGAGAGTGGTGGTGAATGGAGTCAAATCCAGTTGGCGGCCGGGCACGGGTGGTGTTCCCCAGGGCTCAGTGTTGGGGCTGGTCCTGTTTAAAATCTTCATTAATGATCTGGATGAGGGGATTGAGTGCACCCTCAGTAAGTTTGCAGATGACACCAAGCTGGGTGGAAGTGTCGATCTGCTGGAGGGTAGGCAGGCCCTACAGAGGGACCTGGACAGGCTGGATCGTTGGGCCGGGGCCAACTGTATGAGATTCAACAAGGCTCAGTGCCGGGTCCTGCACTTTGGTCACAACAACCC